AGACAATAATAAACTACAATAGGATATGATTTTCACATTATAATGCACTATCAGTACAAAACTTTAGAAATTTCAGTTTAGATTTATTCATCGAATTATTTATACTAACTCTTTTCTTCATAAGATATATTGTTGAATAACCAATTTGTTAAATTTGCTTATAAGAACAAACTTTAATACACAAGTTTGTTGAATTCAAAGTAATTAATATTCTGTGAAAACAATTACAAGTTGTTATAGAATAAAGATTCAAAAGAATAATGAAAGCATATGCGTTAGCATTGAAAACCATAACAATAATCATGCAATTAACAACTAAATAATCATTACAAAACTATACCTTTATTACTATAAGGTTGACGACATATATAACAAATCTGTACTTAAGAAATTAGACATCATTATTAAAGATCTTTCCCACCCCTTGCATCATGAATACACATCTAACAGATCTGGCCACCTACGCCCTAAAAAGTGCAATACTAATAGATTAAGAAATTCATTCACTCACAACTCAGTTTATATCTATAATGCTAACATTGACCGATGATTTTTCCTTTGCAATACCTTGTGCTATTATTTGTGTGTGTGTGTGTGCTGTTCACCATTTGTGGTCTTTTGTACTAACCTCTGTATATATTTTTGTATTTATATTTATATTCATTACGTGTATAAGCATCAGGGAAAAGAATTTTACTTGTGAATTTTTTCTATAAGTGACAATAAAAGTATCTTGTATCTTGTACACAAAAACCTCACATAAATCACTTAAAATCGGTATATGAGAGGCATAAAAAAATTGCACAATGCATTACATTTAAAAATAATTAGCAGAATAATGTAATGTAGGACTGATTAAAATTGTTTCTTTTACATCATGCATTTTGGTTTAAGTACAAATATGAATCGATTTTTTTGTATTTGTATAGCCATTTTCAATCGCTTCTGTGAAGGAAAATACGCTAGCGTTTGGGACAGTGTTGCTTCCATTATGTGTATAATATTTTGATAAAGCAGAACCAAAATCCTGGTAGGTTTGTTTATTTTACTTCTCTGCTGTTTGAAAAGACGATGCATAATATTTATATAAGGTCTTTGTTTATACTATATTTTGTGTGTTTTGTAGTAAATCGCTGACCTGTGCCAGAGTAAATAGTGAGGCCTGATACGTCATCTAGTCCTAGAAGGTAGGTCTACTGCAGTATCATTATTTGAGCGTAATAAAGGGAGTAGACTCATTGTCACCCAAACAACACAAAGTAATGTATAAAAAATAGGCATGGTATTTAGAAGAAGTACAGCTGTTCATTTAGGAATGTCAGTTTTAAGTCGGGTGATAACGAAACCTTTTAGGGAACCCCATTTTAAGGTCGTAGGAAACAGTTCGAGTGGTCCAGTTATGACCGTACTAATATTTTTTTGTTTCCAAATCAATATCGACTGTATGCCAAATTGTTTTTTTTTAGGCAACACTGTATTCTTCTTTGTTTTTTTACAAAATTACAGTATATCGCCTAACTTCGAGGATAGGCCTAAATTCTTGCTTCAAGTACCGAGGTCTGGTTTGTTACAGTGGCGGATTCAAAGGATCCAGTCGGTCGTTTTATCATTAAGGCCTACCTTCGAATTACATCTAGGCCTAAGTAGAAAGTATTGTTCTTACGTGCAATTCATTTCAAATTCAATTCAAATCAAAGATTACAAACATAAAAAGTGGAAATTTGTTATTCAAGGATTGTGAAAAAGTTAAAAAAAAAAAATTATCAAACTCTCCAAACAGAATCCACACACAGCAAAACATAATCAAGCACAATAAAAATTTAACCAATAAATAAATAAATCTAACTGCCATCTCAATATTCAACAAAATTTTCAATCGAAGAGAATTATGTTTCGTTAAGAAATACAAGCTATACAATTTGGTATTTCGCTCGATATATTCTTTGATTAATAAATTAAATTCATAGAGGGAAATTACCAAGGTCAATCTAATATTATCAGGAAGAGAATTAAAATGTCTGCTAAAGTGAATAATTATGGTGAGCACTTATGCATTAGGTCGGGCAAGCTGTTCAATAAACTTAAGAGGATTTGGATGTTTACGGTTAACAGAAATATAAGGAGATTGACATGATATTTGTAAAGCACTTTATCAATAAACATAAGATGTAAAAACATAATGCCAGAATAAAAAGATGAATGTTAAGATGATTGAGTCTGCCTGAATAAGAAAGAAGGGCACTCAAATGCCTACCAATAAAGGATCTAGTGAATATGTGCTGTACCCTCTCCAAAGATGTTAAATGACCACGCTGACCAGGGCAACCACGAATGAATACCATACTCTATTAAGGGACGACACAGAGACATATTAAACTTTTTGTTAGCATCTGTACATTGTGCCCTTCCATTCTATTCTTTGGCAAACCCAAGCATCTTAGAAGCACGCGAAACCGCATAATCCACATGCCTACCCCTAATAATAATATTATTTCAGTGCCTAACTTTAAAATTCAAAATAAAGCAGTAAAAATAGAATTCGCTAGAAGGCATGTTGATAGAAACACAATAAGTAGACACCTTTATTAATCTATGTAATGTGTGATGAGGTTTCTTGACAATCATGTAATTTGTCAATGTTTTTGAGCTTTTTTCAAATAATTTTTTTCTGGCACATTTAAGAAATTTTATTAAATAATTTTTTGATTTTTTGTGAGATTTAAACATCATAACATTTGTGATTACACTTACAAAAAAAAAAAAGAAACAATTTGGATCTTTTTTACTGATACTGTAAGTTTTGTTGCGCAAGTTGATACATTATTAATAACAAATATTTGCTTTCCGAATTCAGTATTTTTTTACTTCATTTACAATTTCCATACACTGATAATTTATCATAATTTCATTCTGTGTATTTTCTCAGTTACCTTTATAATCAAAGTTGATCTCCTTAGTTTTCTTTCATATATTTAAGGCAAGGTTATTTGTAGGGCATTATTCTACTAACTCTTTAAATTTGAAATCAAATGCATATCAAAATACTAATATAAAATTACTTTTAAAAAGTTATAGAAAACTAATGTAAAATATCAGACCAGTTGATCTAAACGGAAGTTACAAGGAGTGTTATGTATGACTCAAGGATTAGGTGATTACATTCTTGTAACTACCCGGTGTAGGGTGTGGATATGAGGACCATTCAAAAGAGACCGTCCCAGACTAGATATTTCAAAAAGTAATCAACTGATCTGAAGGAAACTTTCGTGAAAGTTTGACCAAGTTACAAGGAAAAATTATTAGGTGTAGATGACGATCCAAATTCGGATTGGATCAATATGAAACTTAATTTTGGTGACGATCAGAAGTGGGGGCGTAGATGTGATGATCATCAAATAATATGTTTACCGTATACGGCAGTCAGATACAATGGCTAAATGATGAATATTTAAATTATTGCAAATAGGCATACTGTAAAAATATAAAGCGTTTTATATGTACTAACTTATTAGGTATATTTTAACGCATCTTTATATTTAAACATGTTATACTCAAAACCAATACCTCATTTCCGGGTTACCGGGTAACACAGAAACGAAGGGACACTTAGGGGTGAAAAAGTCATTGATCGAGTTCCTAGTTCACATATCAAGCGCCCTGATCATCTTATATTAGATAGATAGGGCGCTATATAAAACTACACTATTATTATTGTTATTCTTCATTTTACTATATATTTGCATAATGTTTGCATTTCAACATCAATACCTGGCATGTAATTTTTTTTGTCAAACAATGAAGTAAAATGTTCCCATGTGTTCAGCCAGAAGTAATGAATTGGCAGGTATATATCTTTAGTACTATAAAAGGCGTTTCTGGTTCCCCAGTTAGGGTTTTTTGTTTTTTTTCTAAGTAGGTGGTGGTTGGAATGTAAGTGGGTTGTCATATATTTTTTACAGTTTCAGTAGTTTAAAATAAAATGTTTCAATACTATATGTTGCTTAGATTCTGTGTTCAAAACTTAACATGTGTAGCAGTGGCGGATTCAAGGCGTGGCCTAGCCACCCGCCACCCCAGCCCACAATTGTTCGAAAATAAAAAAGATGGAAAAAAAATTCTACTCAAATTTTGAGTATAAGAGTACCATTTCTGGCCTCAAGAGGTGCCATAATCATAACTTTCTTCCCTCAGTATAGACCCTCCATCTGTGAAAGTCCCTCACTTGGCCCCTCTATTTCAAATTCCTGGTTCCACCACTGTGTAGTGAAAAGTAAGCCGACACATTTCGGATTACAAAATCTGAAGATGGCTAATCTAAAAAAGAGTCCCCAAAATCCTATACTAAAAGTCGAAATAGTGCCCCTTTTATAAAATAAAAAGTGTTTGGAAGTGTTACTGTGCGTTTTTTAAGAGGAGTGGGGAGAGTGCAAAAGCAAATTTTTGGAGTTATATTCTACAAAAAGAGATTTGCGGTGGGCGGAGATAGGATCTCTGCCGAGTGCCCTCGTTATCATTTTTATCATCATCATCATCATTATCATCACCATCATCATCATCGTCGTCGTCATCATCATCGTCATCATCATCATCATCATCATCATCATACCATTATCGTCATTAAATATTATCATCATCGAAGCAAAATCTACAATAAATTCATGTTTATTGAATTCAATTTAAGAAAATATCATCATACATTACATCATAATAAGTTTTGTGGAGTGATAACTAAGGTTTAAACTTTCGTACCTAATAATATAAAGCTTATAATACGATTTGAAAAAGTCAATTTATGATGTATGTAAATTGCGGGATAATAAAAAACACATTGCATACATTAATCAAACAATTCTGGTCCAAACTTCTTGTTTGCTTATACCGGTAGCAGTAAATAATGCTAAAAATCTAGGAATATATTATCAGAATTTATTAAATAAGGTGGTGGGTAGTAAATCCCTAAATCTGTCTCTTATACACATCTAGATGTGGATAAGAAAACAGGTTTAAACCTGTTCAGTTTTTTCTCAGAGGAGAAGGCAACATACGTTCTGTGTGTGATTCACGTATCACTTATTGACAAAAACCAACCGTCCTAACCTCATAGGCCTATACACAAAAATCAGTTATAACCGTACCATACAATTGTATACAAAAACTTAATTACTTTTTTAGGTCGGTGTATGCAGAATCTATTGACATGTATGTATGAGGTACTTCGTAAGACGAATCTCTCTCGCTTTTATCCTTTGTTTCTGAATTTTTCAGACGCAGTGATTGGGTAGTTTTTGCTCGAGTCTGATTTTGTAAATCTGCTGTAGTTCCTGTTCTAATTGTATTTACAATAACTTCATCATATTCTCGACCGTCTTTCTTAACTTTCATATTTAATGAATCATTCCCTTTGGTATTCGTACGTTGATAATATCTATAAAATATTACGTAAATGAACGATGTGAGTTGGTACTGTTATTAATTAATTCATTAGGGGTACGTTCATAATTTTAATTTTATAAATGATTCTAAATGTATATTAAACGACAGAACTTTCAAACTTAAAGTTAAAATATATATTTATTTTAGATCTCGCTTATGTTCGGAGATTACTGAAATACTTTTTTTTTTATCTAAACCGTTATATTTTGTACTGTTTTTTTAAATGTTGCTCTGGTTCTTCTTTATATCCGGTTTCCGAAGTTGTTATTGTTGGAATTTGTTTTTCTTTTTTGTAGATTTTAGTTATATTTTCATATTTTTAACTCTACATTTTGAGAAACCAAGTAAATTCAATCAATTATTGAGAATTAAAATGATATCTGTATCATAATTTCCTTAAAACCCTTAGTTACCTTGTGTATACAATAATGATGACAGCGCTTAACACTAGCACAACAACGAGAACAACTACAAATGTAGACACTGTAGAAATGAAACAAAAATCATACTCAATTAAAGTGTTGTTAGATCTGATATCATATATTATAAAAAGAAATAGGCAAGTTCATGATAATTTATTGTATTAAAATACGATATCGATATAGTTTACTTGTCTATAGGAACATAACATTCTCCTACAACTAGGCCTACAGACACAAAACAAGAAAAGGAATATTTGGTCGTACCTTTAACACTGTTGTGGTTGTCGTAGTAGCAGATTTGTTCCTTTCCGTTAATGAGACAAACTCCGCCTTTGTCACAATTAATGTTATTGTCACATGCGTGAACTTGAGAGATACAAATACATAATCAATTAATCAAAATCACTGAATTATATTACCAATATAAAAGTATTACCTTATGAGATTTGCACTAGCACAGTGACGTATTAAATTTTTTTTGAATGGTTCATTTTCAGTAAACATCGCTCTGTATTTATTTAAATGATGTTAAAAGCATGTTAAGTTATAACGTGCAAAATATAATAATATAAGGAATTTCTTACCATCCTGACATAATTCCCCAGTAAAAACACCCTCACACTTACAAACTGGCACACCATTTTTATTTTGGCAAATTCCACTGTTGTGACACGTCAAATTGTTACATGGATCTAATTTGTAAATAACTTTGTTTTGTAAATTTAATATAATAATACATTTATATCATAAAACAATTGAAATATGAAAAAACACACAGTCTAGATCTAGTATGGTTCAATAACTGGTTTATCTAATCAGTTGCAGATTTAATTCCTGAATTAGTACATTAACTACGTTATGAAATCTTATTTAGTTTTTAGGCTTTTATTAGCTACAGTGTGTATTGAAATATAATAGTTTTATTATTGCATATTTAATAGTTTTATTATTGCATATTTATATATTCAAGGCCTACGGACACGCTAGTAATAAATATAAATGAAGGTAAACATGTTTAAATTGTAAAAGACCACACCACCAATCTAAATGTTCTTTTAAATTTTAGCCTTTACAATATTCATTAAAATAAGGATACATTACTATTAGTCTACAAAATCGATAAGTATAATAGAAAATATATATAGTATATATAATAAGTATATATGTATGGTTGTTAATTCCAACTTTTTTAATGATGCACTGTTTGTGATGAACTATATTTGAAAAATTCAATTCCATTTTGAATTGAAAATTTGAATGAAAAAAAGAAAAACATATTCTACGTCAATTAAGAGTTGATAAGATTAAAAGTAGAAGTGCTGCTCACTTCTACCTTAGATGACTTTCATCGTACTCTTGAATATCATAAATATGCATATATTATGCATTCACGCATTTCAAACGGTTAAAGTATTATAATCTATGGCAAATTTGCGTAATCTGCACAGGAAAGGCAAGTAGTGATGGTGATGGTGGTGGTGGGTAGTAAATCCCTAAATTGCTTGAGCTTCCTTGGGCCCGTGCTTTTAAGATCAACTTCAAAAAGGCCATTCTGTCCCGTCTCGCCGGGCTAATCCTAGATTCAGAATACAGGTTACCGTTAAACCTGCTGTATATACAAATACAGTAAAACCCATTCTTTGGGACACCCATTATTCAGGGGACAATTTTCTGTGAAACGAAGGGCAATATATCAAACTACTGCCAACCCATATTAAGGGCACACCCCAATAAATGGGACGGAGACACTGTCTTAGTGTTCCAATTGCAGCGATGGCACCAGGATTTGCCCGAAAATAAAAAAATTATTTGATATACTGTATTAGATTGATTTATTTAAAAATCTATTTCCGTTAACTATACCAAATCTTACTAGTCCGTCCCAATGTAGCCAGTAGTATAGGAGGTACAGGCGTAGCTGTTAGTAGACGGTGTACACACTGTCTCTTATACACATCTAGATGTGTATAAGAGACAGCCCTTAATAAGGAGACACTCATTGTATCACAAAAGTTGCAATAGTCTTAAAATGAGAAAAACTAATTCAACTATATATTTTGACATCTTTTGAGCAATAAACCAGAAATTTCTCTCCAGAATTCTTTAAGAGTTGAGATCGGTATTATAGGGCTACTGCATGTGTTACTTCGTATAAACTAATCTTGTCAATTTTGACCCTTAATCACTGGGATTTCTTTTTCTTTGTTTTTCGTGTACTTTCATATAGGATTCTAATCTGTACCATAACATGTTACTTTCATGCTACATCCGTCCAATGAAAAGCTCAATGTTACCAAAAATAATATCTGGTCATTAATATTGCATCATTAAAAACAATATTGGAAACATAAAACTATTCAGACATAAAACATAAAACTAATATTAATTTTAAGTTTTCAATTAAATCACCCCAGTCCCGTAGAAATTTTAATGACCTTATATTTCTTTTTAAATGTTTGACTTCTATCTTTGATTGTGAATTAGTATCTAATTTTGCCCTTCGTGTTCCTGTCCGTATTTTAAGAAATAATGATGTTCTTTACGTTCCTTTAAGTAGAGTCAATATTTTAAAAAACGGGTTTATTAGTAGATTAAGTTCCTCGTATAACAAGTTAGTTCAGGACTATCCGTCTTTAGATTTATTTAACTCCAATCTGCACATTTTCCGCCGTAGCGTTTTAGGCGTGATTAGTTAAAATTAATTTTGTTTGTGTTTCTGTTTCCGTCGTCTCGTCCTTTGTTAACCATACTGTAAGTGGCGGATTTGTGTCCGCTGTTGTTTTGGTGAATAAATAATAAAAATTGTTTCTGCTGATTTTATATTATAAATGAATTGTATTGCATTGCAAATTATTGCTATGAATTACTTCTAATTCTATTGTATTGTATTCTTATCTCAATAAAAATTCAATCATATTTCATATATTATTTTAAAACTCGTCAATGATACTACAGTCGCTCCCAGTGTAGCCAGTAGGACATGTACAGGCGTAGCTGTTGGTATACGGTGTACACATTTGTCCTGTGGACACGGATTACTCGCACAACCTAAAATGAAAAATTATTTGCTCTACTGTTTTATAATATATTTTTTAAAATCATATTTCTTATTATTTAAAAACTCGTCAATAAAATAATTATCATTAATTGAGAATTTATTAAATACTTATACCATTATAAATACTACAGTCGCTCCCAGTGTAGCCAGTAGGACATGTACAGGCGTAGCTGTTGGTATACGATGTACACATTTGTCCTGTGGGACACGGATTACTCGCACAACCTAAAATGAAAAATTATTTGCTCTACTGTTTTATAATATATTTTTTAAAATCATATTTCTTATTATTTAAAAACTCGTCAATAAAATAATTATCATTAATTGAGAATTTATTAAATACTTATACCATTATAAATACTACAGTCGCTCCCAGTGTAGCCAGTAGGACATGTACAGGCATAGTTGTTGGTATGCAGTGTACACATTTGTCCTGTGGGACACGGATTACTCGCACAACCTAAAATAAAAAAATTATTTGATATACTGTATTAGATTGATTTATTTAAAAATCTATTTCCGTTAACTATACCAAATCTTACTAGTCCGTCCCAATGTAGCCAGTAGTATAGGAGGTACAGGCGTAGCTGTTAGTAGACGGTGTACACATTTACCCAGCAGGACACAGATTACACGTACAACCCAAAATTACAAAAAAAAAAAAAAATCTATAAAACTAATTTATTTAACAAATTATATTTTGTTTATTATTTCAAAACAAGTCAATGAAATATAAATTTGTCAAATGCTCATACCATCATAAATGCTACATTTGATATATTATTCCAAAATTGGTCAAAAGATATTATTAACTGATAATATATCAATTTTCATACCATTATAAATGCTACAATCGCTGCCAGTGTAGCCAGTAGGACAGGTACATGTGTAGCTGTTGGTAAACGATGTACATCGCCCTGTGTGACACGGATTACTGGCACAACCTAAAATGAAAAATTATTTGCTATAATGTTTTATAATTTTTTTCTTTAATCATATTTCATATATTATTTAAAAACTCGTCAATGAAAGAATTATTGAGAATTTATTAAATTCTCATACGATCATAAATACTACAGTCGCTCCCAGTGTAGCCAGTAAGACATGTACAGTCGTAGCTGTTGGTATACGGTGTACACATTTGTCCTGTGGGACACGGATTACTCGCACAACCTAAAATGACAAATTATTTTCTATACTGTTTTACAATTAATTTTTTAGCAAATCATATCATCATATATTATTTTTAAAAACTCGTCAATGAAATAATTATGATTAACTGAAAATGTATTAAATGCTCATACCATTATAAATGCTACAGTCGCTCCCAATGTAGCCAGTAGGACATGTACAGGCGTAGCTGTTGGTATACGGTGTACACATTTGTCCTGTGGGACACGGATTACTCGCACAACCTAAAATGAAAAAATATTTGCTTTACTATTTTATATATTTAAAAAAAATCATATTTCATATATTATTTAAAAACTCGTCAATGAAATAAATATTATTAATTGAGAATGTATTAAATGCTTATACCATCATAAATACTACAGTCGCTGCCAGTGTAGCCAGTAGGACATGTACAGGTGTAGCTGTTGGTATACGGTGTACACATTTGTCCTGTGGGACACGGATTACTCGCACAACCTAAAATGAAAAAATATTTGCTTTACTATTTTATATATTTTAAAAAAATCATATTTCATATATTATTAAAAACTCGTCAATGAAATAAATATTATTAATTGAGAATGTATTAAATGCTCATACCATCATAAATACTACAGTCGCCCCCAGTGTAGCCAGTAGGACATGTACAGGCGTAGCTGTTGGTATACGGTGTAGGCCTACACATTTGTCCTGTGGGACACGGATTACTCGCACAACCTAAAATGACAAATTATTTGCTATACTGTTTTACAATTACTTTTTTAGCAAATCATATCATCATATATTATTTTTTAAAAACTCGTCAATGAAATAAATATTAATAATTGACAATGTATTAATGTTCATACCATTATAAATGCTACAGTCGCTGCCAGTGTAGCCAGTAGGACATGTACAGGCGTAGCTGTTGGTATACGGTGTACACATTTGTCCTGTGGGACACGGATTACTCGCACAACCTAGAATGAAAAAATTATTTGCTATACTGTTTTATAATTTTCTTTTTAAATCATATTTCATATATTATTTAAAAACTCGTCAATAAAATAATTATTATTGATTGAGAATTTATTAAATATTTATACCAATATAAATACTACAGTCGCTCCTAGTGTAGCCAGTAGGGCATGTACAGGCGTAGCTGTTGGTATACGGTGTACACATTTCCCCTGCAGGACACAGATTACATGTACAACGTACAACCCAAAATTTAAAAAAAAAATCTATAAAACTAATTTATTTAGCAAATTATATTTTGTTTATTATTTCAAAACAAGTCAATGAAATATAAGTTTGCCAAATGCTCATACCATCATAGATGCTCATACCATCATAGATGCTACAGTCGTCTCCAGTATAGCCAGCAGGACAGGTACAAATGTAGCTGTTGGTATCTGATGTACACGTGAATCCTGCAGAACACGGATTACTCGCACAATCTAAAATGACAAATGGATTACAGTAATAACACAATAATTTATCTAACAAATTCTACTTCATTTATTATTTCAAACCTCATTAATGCAGGGTAGCTATGGTTGATTGTTTACACTTGTATCCCATTAAGCACAGTTGATTCACAAAACCTAAATTTATCCGGAATTTATCAATTTTCATAATTTATTTGACAAATAATATTTCTTTGATTTAGTTTAACAATTAAGAGAAGGGTGATGATCTATATGTAAATATTTGCAACAACATAATATTTGTATTTATATTATGTTGTTTATGTTTACATTAAGTTTTTTTATATTATGCTATTTAATTATATACACCTGGAAAATTTGTAAGTATCTTAGTTCCAAGTCCACTGAAACTTTAGTTCATGCTTTTATTTCCACTATAAAGTTAGATTATTGTAATTCATTGCTTGTCGGTTTGCCTGATTTTGTTACTCATCGTTTACAGAAAGTACAAAACTTTCAGTTGCCAGGATATGTTCACTTACTCCACGTAAACAGCACTCCATTATTCTACTGTCATCATATTCATATATGTAGGACTGGTGACTGTCCTTATAAAATGCAATATGCGAGGGTTATATAATCCTAATCTGGCTTATGCCGTCCAATATATTATATATACAACCAGATTACAACAGTTCAATTACTATATACTGGAACAGCCTCAAACGCGGGGAGCCAGCGTAGATTTTTAAACCAATTTCTAAATACGCCATTTTGGAATTAATCCGAATTATGACTGTAAACACACGCTTTTACAGGGTTTTTGGATTCAAAATAGTACGTATACAGGTATGTATATCATGTCTTCCTCTAAAATTTTAGACTTATATTAACTCTAATGCTTTAAAAAACATTAAAGTTCAGTCTACCTAGGCCTAGACCAAGGCCCTCGGCATAACCTAGTTTAGGCCTAGATGAACAACTTTCGGCTCGATCATGTGTGGGAAAAAGCCGGTCCTCTGGCTTAGGGGTGAAGGGCCTAGGAATTTAGAATTGCCAAGAGGCTCTCTACTTTGAGTGTCATAGTGGGTCTCCCTAATAGTACCTCCCTGGTGTTCTATTACCTCAGTGCAGGCCTATTTGAATTCACTATTTCTACTACTAGCCTCCTATATTAGGCTTAAGGCCTACTAGTACTATAGCCCTATGTAGACATAGGCCTCTAACCTAGGCATAGCCTCGATTTTATTACAGAGGCTCAACCTAAACACGCCTAGGCTACCTACCTTTCATTCATTCATTTATTCACCCACTCATTCAATCACTAATTCATTCATCCATTCATTTATTTATGCATTTATTCATTCATTTAATCATTCATTCATTCATTCATTCACTCACACACTTATTCATTCATCCATTCTTTTATTCATGCATTCATTCATTTTCATTTATTCATTTGATTTTATTTATTCATTCATTCATTCATTTTCAATCATTCATATTTTCATTCATTTATATTCATTCATTTTATTAATTATGGTTATAAAACACATGTGTATTTTCTGATTGGAACTAAAAATAATAATTTTTTTGGAACAGTGGCAGATTTAAGGGGGGCCCAGCTGGCCTGGTCCCCCCCTAAAGTTTTCAAAATGAAAAAAAATGAAAAAAAAAAGAAAAATTATACAGGTATAAAAAGATACAATAATACTGTAATAATAATAATAATAATAATAATAATAATAATAATAATAATAATAATATTCCATCCATTCATCCATCCATTTACTCACTCATTCTCTCACTTATTTACTCTCACTCATTTTTTCACTTATTCATTCATTATTTCATTCATTCATTTATTCACCCACTCACTCAATCACATATACATTCATTTATTCATTTATTAATGCATTCATTCATTTTCATTTATTCATTCGATTTTATTTATTCATTCATTTTCAATTATTCATTTTTATTCATTCGGTCATTCATATTTTCATTCATTCATTTTCATTTATTTTATTCATAGATTACTCTATGCATTAATTATGTTTATAAAACACACTTGTGTTTTTGATTAGAACTAAAAATAATAATTGTTTGGAAAAATGGTGGATTTAAGGGCAAGCCCAGCTGGCCTAATCCCCACCTAAAGTTTTCAAAATAAAAAAAATGGAGAAAAAAGGAAAATTATACAAGGAAAAAAGGATACAATAGTGATAATATTATAATATTATTAGTAATAATAAATCAATCACATATTCATTCATCTATTCATTTATTAATGCATTCATTCATTCATTTTCATTTATTCATTCGATTTTATTTATTCATTCATTTTCAATCATTCATTTTATTCATTCATTTATTCATATTTTCATTCATTCATTTTCATTTATATTATTCATAGATTACTCTATGCATTAATTATGGTTATAAAACACGTGTTTTTTTATTATAACTAAAAAATAATTTTTTTTTTTTTTTTGGAACAGTGGTGGATTTAAGAGGGGCCCTGCTGGCCTTCTCCTCCTAAAGTTTTCAAAATAAAAAAAAATGGAGAAAAAAAGAAAATTATACAAGGATAAAAGGATACAATAGTGATAATAATAATAATATTAGTAATAAAAGTATTATTATTATTATTATTATTATGAATATTATTAATAATAATAATAATAATATTCCATCCATTCGTCCATCCATTTACTCACTCATTCTCTCACTCATTTACACTCACTCATTTTTTCACTCATCCATTCATTATTTCATTCATTCATTTATTCACCCACTCATTCAAATCACTAATTCATTTATTCATACATTCATCCATTGATGTAATCATTCATTCATTCATATTCATTCATTTTCATTTATTCAGTCGATTTTATTTATTCATTCATTGTTAATCATTCATTTTTATTCATTCATTAATTCATTCATAGTTTCATTCATTCATTCATTTTCATTTATTTTGTTTATAGATTACTCTATGCATTAATTATGGTTGTAAAACATGTGTGTTTTTTTTAATTAAAACTAAAAATGTTTAATTTTTTGGAACAGTGGTGGATTCAAGGGCGAGCTCAGCTGGCCTGGTCTCCACCTAAAGTTTTCAAAATAACAAAAAAATAGGAAAAAAGGAAAATTATACAAGGATACAATGTTGATATTAATAACAATTATATTAGTAATAATAAAACTATTAATAAAACTAATAATAATAATAATAATAATAATAATAATAATAATAATAATAGTAATAATAATATGAATATAAATATATTTTGAGAGTGCTGAGAGTGCCATTTCCAATGATCTAGAGGTGCAATAATCATAAATTTTCTCACCTCAGCAAAAACCATGGTGGGGCTGAGGTTCACCGACCCACAACCTGTGGATTGGTCCCTCCCTGGGCCCCCTCTATTTCAAATTTCTGGATCAGCTACTGAGTGGTTATGTAAGTTGTGCCTAGGCATGGCACTGCTAAGGTAGCATCTCATTTAACAAGGATTATTGATACTATATATTAATTGAAAAAAAAATCACCTCCCAATAAGTATTTAATTTTAAAGAGGTGATGCTAAACAAGTTTTTTCTCCAATATTTTAACATAGATGGTAGATATATTATTATGCAGTAACCTTGGCCTTATGATGTTTATGCGCACCTAGGCTTACATCTCTACCAGCAATTTTCTACACAAAAATGAGTTAGATTACTTCTCAGTTTAATCCTGCAAATTAAATACTGATCACGCCAACTTCATCCTCAATGTCCAGTATCCATACAGCACTTTGTTTCAAAGTACTTCACATTTTGCCAATTCATTTAAATTCAAATTCAATTCAAAAATACTTTATTATCCAAAGGCATATTCATTTGGCCAAGGTATAATATATCAAACAATGTACAATGAATAAAATACATATAAAAATAGTTTAAAAAGAAAGTTTATACATGAAAAATCATTTTAAATCAGGGATTTAAACAATAAGTGTTAGGTTTGTTTCCTTTTATTAAATTATTTTAAAAGAAAGTAACACAAAAATTTGTGAAACAATTTAAAATAGAAAAATATTTAAAATCCTCAAACTCTCCGGACTTGTATAATCTATTATTTTTATATCATTATTTATTTATTATTTTATTATTATTTGTTTATTTTGTTATTATTGCAGATTACATACATATGTTTTAACTCTGGTTTATGTAATGTATTTTTCACTAAATTAGGACTACCGTATCTCTGACAGACTGCACTTGAACTATCTAGAAAAACAACCTCAAGTCAATGATAAAGTAGCAGTGAGTCCTAAAAACACACGTCTGACCACACATTAATAAGATACCCAATGGAATTACAAATAGCTTTGTTATAATAATCATATTAGGACTCGCATTATCATTAAAATGTGTTTTATTGAAATGTTTTAGACAATTTATTAGGTCAATATGTAATATGATGGTCTCATTGCTGCCCCTCATGTCAATCCTTCACTTTATTAAATGTGTATTTACATCTCAGAAAAACATAGTTTTTCATTTTTTGCCTAAGTTCTATAAATGTTACGGCTTATAATTTAACTTAAATTTAATTATTGTTGATCTCATTTTGTCTATCCCTCAGATGAATTTTGTTTATGGTTCTAGCTATATGAACTATGTAGGGATATTAGTGTGGCCAATATTTTGTTGAAGAGTTTGGGCTTAGGGGAAGTTTTATAGGGGTCTATTACTTTCATTAGTCTTGTGAAAGAATGCAATAATTGAAATGTGACTAAATCTCACTTCTTTCTCTACAGAAAATATTGTATGCAAGCAGTTAAACTAGGAGCAAGTTTATGCTTAACAGAACATGCATAAGGTAGGTTCACTGTTTACAGTATATAAATGGTTGAATATCAGAATAATTATGTATTATGCCCACTGTACAGTTATTTTAATCACTGTATTAAGTTTGTGAATACACATAAAAGAGAATTGTATAGCCTATTGCACAATTCACAATCTATATAATTGTA